ATCAGTCATCTCCGCACCCTTCCAGTGATATGAAGTCAAGGTCATCTTCGCCAGCGAAGAACGAACATAGTAGTAGTAGTAGTAGTAGTAGCAGCAGCAGCAGCAGCAGCAGCAGCAGCAGCAGCAGCAGCAGCAGCAATAGTAGTAGTAGTAGTAGTAGTAGTAGTAGTAGTAGTAGTAGTAGTAGTAGTAGTAGTAGTAGTAGTAGTAGTAGTAGTAGTAGTATCATCATTGTTATTATCATTTTTTACAATTAATTTTGAAATCACACACATGGTAAAAGCAGTAATAGCACACACATAAGGTATCTCAAAAATGAGCCATGGAATCATCAAGAGTTCCAATAATGTTCCGACGTGTCATTTAACAAAGACTGTGGTGGGTAGGACACTTATGCGACACGAAGATGTGGGGCATGCCAAAAGACCTTTTCCATGGAGAAAGCAAATCTGGCAAATTCTTCTGAGGCAAAGAAACACAAGCACGAAGGACACGATCTCTGCTCAATAAACTTAAAGAACCTAGCAATATATAGAGAGGAGATGTTTCAGCACGTAATATTAAATATTGTGTTCTTTCTTATTGAGTATATCCGTGCGGGCACATGAACCTCGTATCACGACAAGACTGATTGGTCTTGGCGAGATGAGTTAAGATTGGTGTTGTCCTTTAGCGAAAAGAGAAACAAGTAGATACATGAATTGTAACGTCTGAAAGGACAGAAGGTGACGTAACGGGGTATGTAGCATTAGTCGCTATCTTAAAATTATTCTCACTGCGACTGGCATTTTCTTGAATACATAGGCTTTTTATACAAAAATCAAATAAATAAAACAAACAAACAAAAAGAAAATAGGGGAGGCGATATTCCCAAATTTGCATGTCAATGCAAATGAGCTGTGACATAGGTAAATTGAAGGACAACAGATGGACAAAATGGTCTGAATGGAGACCAAGAACAGGAAAACGACAAAGTGAAAGATCAGAAAGAAGAGGGCAAGATGACATCAGAGAGCGGTGGGTACAACGCTGACAGAACAGAGTGGAGGTCATTGATGGAAGGCTACATCCTATGGTGCTGTTCTTAATATTCAAAGCAGAATAACCGGTATCTGTGGCAGTTGATAGGCGCTTCGCAGGAGACGTGAGTTCGATTCTTATGTGGGGAGAATTGGTGTCTAGTAGTATTTCAGTCTTTCTCCTAGGACGTTGTATCTCCATCAGCCCGGGTTGAAGGTCGAAGCCCGCCTCTTAAAGGATATTTGTGTCGATGAGGGTGTAAAATAGCTACCTACATTTAAAATGATTTCAAAGAGAAGCACAACCATCTATTTCATTTTCGTCTACACCTCCCCTTCTTCTACCCCCCCCCCTCCCCGGCTTCCAGCACCGAGGATACCTCCCCCACTATTGTAACTTCGTTAAGACCAAGACCCTCCATGACCGCAGCAGCAGCCCTGCACTCATCACAACCGATGATGATGATGACGTCGACGACGGCTATATCACCAACACGGAGCAGACTCCCAGCGAAAAAACGACGAGTGGGTGAGTAGAATGGAAACATTATGAAAGCCCCAGTACTATGTAGTTGTTTTTTTGTTAATTCTTCAAAATGTCTGTACGTTTTTGCATTTTTATCTGTATGTTTAGTTTTCTTGGTTTGCTCTGTGTTTGTTAGTATTATGTTATTTATTGTTCGTACGTGAGAAACAGACACAGGTGTGTTGGGTGAAAACATTTGAACGTGTTTATGTTGGTGCTCATATTTGTTTATTTCTAAGAACATGTGTTTGGTTATTTGTTTCTCTGTTTGTTTATAAACAACGATCAATAGCTTTTGAGTAGTACGAATGAATGTTTATGTATGTGTGTTTCTTTGTTTAGTCTTTGAGACATCTATTTATTTGTTTGTCTGTTAGTCTGTTGTTAATCTCTCTGTATAATAATATGTGCTTTTTTGTCTATTTCTTATGCTGTGTGTTTGTGTGCTTATCTGCCGGTCTGTTTGTCTGCCTTCGTGTCTGTCTGTTTGTTTGTGAATTATATCTGTACGTGTGCTGAATTCTGCCTGGTTGTTTGTTTGATTGAGTAAATGTGTGAGAGTTTGTCTGTCTGTAAGTTGGACCAACAGTGAAAATCAACTTGACGGCAACAAAAAGTGTGCATTTTGGAAAATACTAGTTACATAGAAGGTACGCGGAACTGTACTGTATGTTAGTCTGTTAACTACAGACTTTTAAAAAAATGCAATGGATAGGCTCGAAATAAATCTCCATAGATTGCACATTCTTACAGGAATCAATGTGTCTATCTGAGTTTTTGGGGTGGGTTTTTTGTCTGTTGTTGTTGATTTTTCTTTTTGCTCGAATTAGTCAGACAGACAAACAGACAGACAGACAGACAGACAGACAGACAGCCAGACAGACAGACAGACAGAGAGACAGATAGATAGATAGATAGATAGATAGATAGATAGATAGATAGATAGATAGATAGA